CCTCATTAAGACTTTATATTATCACACAATTATTAAGGTTTCCACTTGTACTCTTATGAAAGAGCATCCCCTCTTAATAAAATCCCAACATCTTTTCTTTAACTCAAGCTAGTCTTATTGCCCAACAATCTACGATTGTACCGATACTCTCCCTTGAGTATCAATACTCTCCTTCTAGTGGTATCAACACCAAATTTTTCTTCGATGTTTGGAAATTAATCTCAGTATCGATACTCTCTTAGGAGTATCGATACTCACCCTCTTCAGTATCGATACTCCCATGAGTATCGATACCAAAATTACATTTGATGTTTTAAAAAAAATACTCCAGTATTGATACCCAAAAGACAGTATCGGTACTCCATCTGGATATCGATACTCTCTTGAGTACCAATACAAAATTTGGCTACTTCATGTAGCAAATTGTTTGTTTCTTTTTTGGTGTTTATAATATGTAAATATTATGTTTTTAAATGATTATGTGTAATTAGTTTCTTTCCGTCCTCCTTTGGGTTGCAGTGTTTTCGAATATGGATCCAAAAATCAGTCTTGATTTTTACTCTGGCATATTGGGCATGTCGTAAGTTCAATTTCAGTTCTCTTTTTTATAGCTTTTTTTTTATATAAATAATTTGATATTAATAGAAGTGTTGGTATGACTCATAAATATACAGGTACAAGGGTTAATTTTGTAATTATGTATCAGGCTTATCTATTATAAATAGAGATGTAACCTAAACCTATGAGATATTGAATAAAACTTCTAGCGCCGCCTAGGCACCGAGGACGTAAGAACATTGCTGAACCTCGTTAAAATTATTGTGTTCTTTCGTTTTTCTTTTCCCGATTCTTCAACAATAAGCAATGAAATCATCATTTCCAGGCTGCTTAAGAGAATTGATGATTGAGATTTGAAGTTTACCTTGTACTTCATGGGCTATGAGGTATAATGCACATAATTACACCGCAAGAAATTATCCTGTTGGAAATAATAATGATGTTTGATTCTAAATGCTTATTTACCTCGGATGTAGGATGTTTCAACAGCTCCAAGTGACCCGATTGATAGAACAGCTTGGACCGTTTCGAAACCAGCAACCATAGAACTGAACCAGTAAGAATACATTATTTCTAGGGGAAAAATGAAAAATTAATCCGCCTTTTGTTTTGACAAAATCATCATTCTTCTGGCTTGTACCATGTCTAACAGTTTAATGTTTCCTACAGCAAATGGGGTACCGAAAGTGACCCGAGTTCAAAGGATACCACACTGGGAATTCAGAACCTTTACGCTTTGGTATGAACAGCTTTTGTATCTATTATAATGTTCATTTCTTCTAGTGTCTTACGATTTGTGCTTCAAACAAGAGTAGTTTAAAATATGATCATTTCTTTTCAATAAACTTGCCGGCTTTTCGAAAGGACTATGCTGTAATCGATCAAAGGGATGCTGCTTCTATGTTCAAGTCGATAGGATTTTTTTTATATATATACTTTTTCTGTTCTAAATATGTGAATTTTGTATTTGAGGAATTTTTGGGATATTTTAGGTAGTAATCTGTCCATTTTCCCTTTTCAGGGCATCTTGGCATCACTGTGAATGATACATTCAAGGCATGTGAGAGGTTTGCAATGCTTGGAGTAGAGTTTGTCAAAACACCAGAGGATGGTAAGACATCACTGTGGATGATACTAATAGTGGTAGATATGTCTGAAATATTTGCTTTCTGATTTCTTTGAAAATGCTTTCTCATGCCTTGATTTTCCAATCTGATTTGCAGGGTATGCATTTATCAAGGATCCCGATGGTTATTGGATTGAAATTTTTGATTTGGTTAATATCAGAAACGTAGTTAAGGTTGTTGCCTGAGTTAGTGCTTCACAAAGTTCAAGTAGCTTTTGGAGTATTTATCAGAGACTTCTTCTCTCGTGACGTATCTTTGATCATTGGAAATGTATCTGATACATAGGTGTTGATGCAGGAAACGAGGATGGCATATGTTACAGGTTTCATTCATATTGGTTTGACGGTGTGTAGTCCTATACATCATCATCTGCTTTCCTGAACTTGTCGAGGGAACAACTCGGTGAAATATGATATGTATGTTTTATTCAATTATATGTTTTCTGCAAGTCTGATATGTATATACCAGACAGGAGAAAGTGAAAGTAATTAGTTTTGTAGGAGAAACTGAACCTTGAAATTTAATAAAATCAGCTTAAATTTCGCTTACCAAGTCGAGCATGAAGTGGAAAAAATAGAATGATGAAAGTACTAAAACTTTAAACCATTTATCAAATATTATCCCTTTTCTTTATTAACAAGTTTGGAATAGTGTAAAGCAAAAGTCTTTTCTTTATCATTGATTAAACTCAAAACTCAAAACTCACAATATTTCAAGCTCACGACTTTGAAATACCTTAATTGTAATTACAGCTGTATAATCAATTTAGACCTACTAATAATATTATAAAAATATGAAGACTAAATTAAAACAAAAAAGGGGAATTGAATCTAGAATTTCAACATAATAGAGGGACCAAAGTCAAAATTAGACCATTTAAGAATAATAAAATCATTAAGGGGGAATTTGCCTTGAACTGCTTTAAATTTTGCTTCTTTGTAAACTCAGATATGAGAAAGTTTGGTCAATCATTGTAAATTCTTTGTTAATAGTATGCAACACTGTAAACTAGACCATAACTTTTTATATAGCTTATTTATGAATCAATTATTATTTTTATATATAACTTTGTCTCTCATCAAATTATAAATACAACTTTAATAGTATATACATTTTTATTTTCGTGACACTTCTAATACCTTAAGACTTCTTTATAGTATAATTAGTCACGTAATTTATATCATATTTTATGATAACAATATACATAAAAAAAATATCTCTCCATAGTTATGGGTTTAAACAAAACATCCGAAAGATTTATGGTTGAAGAAGCGTGTGCAAAGTAGAGGAAATGATAAAGAGCATTAATTAACTTCATCGAAAGGATGAACATATTCGGGTCGTTTATACAATAATTTTGCAATTTTGAACCACTCATGGGCGCGTAAGCTAATATTTAGGAGAAATTAATCAAAAAATAATAATATCCAGGAGAAAGAAAAATATAATTAGCTCACTTTTCAGGTTACATTGAATAAGTCAATGGCATCACGGTTCAGTTGTCAAACTAAAACTTAAAAGCTTGTTTCTTGACACTTAAACGTTTTGAACTTTAAGATTAAGACCAGTCGGCCACCGGGAAAAATACTTGAAGAGAATATTATTATTAATAAATGAATAATATTTTTTATAACTAATAATGAATATACACATATAATTTGTAAATTTTATATATTAATATAGATAATTTCATATTATTTTGTATTATAAATTATGAAAAATATTTTTAAGGATATCTTTTATGAGAAATCATATTAATTTATTATTTTTTCAGATAATGTTTATACATAAATTATAAACATGAATATGATTTAAACGCTTAAAGAAAATTTATATAAAAAAATATTATAAATAATAATAATGGAATTTGTGGTCATTGAAAAACCATAGAATAATTGTAAAAACATGATTATGTATAACAAGTGAGGTGGTGGTGGATGAAAAATAACAAGATTAAGTCGATATTTTATGGTTTAACCCCTTCTTATTTGAAAAAGAGCTATTAGTCGATCAAGACTTGGCTAGCTTGACAATTTATGATTCACCGCATCTTATTTGAAAAAAGAGCTATTAGTCGATCAAGACTCATTTTAAAAGAATTCTGAATCGATTTTTAAAATATTACGGTTCTCTTTAAAAATTTCATCATCAAAATTTATTTGAAGTGAATTATTAAGGATATTAATCTCTTATATGATCTTTTGATTTCCAAGTGGCCTTAAATTTATGATTTCTCCATAGGATTTTTACTAACAAAATTTACTTATTTCTCAATTCTTTATTTTCTCAAGCCAGAATTTGAATTAGTTATTTCTCGTAGATTAATTTTAATCGAATCTCTATTAGTGATGGGTCTACAACTTTTTAAGGCTGGACATGTACCCACCATCAAATTCGAATTTTCTTCGATTAATTATCTATTTTACTGATGGTATCTACCTTAAAATTCCCAATCAAAAATTGTGTTATTAATATATGTGTACTAACCCAACAAAATATTTGGGTTGTCAACGGTCTATGAACCTAGGAACGTATTTGGGTATGCCTTTGTTTCATAGTAGGGTCACCAAGAGTATGTTCCTGTTTTAAATCGATAAAATCCGAAAAAAGTTAAACAATTGGGTGGCTACTAATATATCATTGGCAGGGTGAGTGACTCTCACTAAGTTGACTCTTATGGCTATCCCGAACTATTTCATGTAAACTATGGCTATCCCTAAAGGTGTTTGTAATCAAATAGAGCAAAGCGGTTGTCAATTCTTTTAGGGGATCAAAAGGAAAGGCGAAGATGGCCTTTGTTAACTGGAAGACTTACTGCCAACCTATTAACCATGGTGGTCTTGGATTAAGACCGTTTCATTCTTAAAATGAGGCATTCCTTGTGAAACTAGGGTATAATCTTTTGATTTATCTGGAGGCTCTTTGGGTCAAACTTCTTCGCTCTAAATACAAGGTGAGTGAGACCCTCCCTGGCACTATCAAAGCCAAGAATTATTCTTTTATTTGGAGGTCTCTCACTCGTACGTGGGATTTTATAAGAGAAAATGTGTGTAACATTCTAATCCGATCGGACCCGAAATTCGATGGATTAGAATGTTACACGAAACTACCAAAGTGGGTAACCATATTTTTGAAATCATAGACCAATTTAACATCCACAAGTGGCATAGAAATAACCAAAATAAAGTACGTTTACAAAATATAATATTTTAAATATGGGGAGCTACCAACATCAGTCTCCAAAATATGTCAATACAAAAATAATATAGTTTACGATTCAAATACACAATAAGAGTCTATGACAATACATGCCCTCTACAATAATCTAGATATACTCTGAAAAGAAGGACGAGTCTGGAAATTCAAATCTGACGATGAGCTCCTCAGCTGGCACCTATAAACCTGGGCACGAAAACACATTCCATAGGTTGAGCTCACAAGTTCAGTGCCACACAAATAACCCTAGTATACTACATGCATTCAACATAGAAGCATTCTACAAGTATGGTTATGAACATTTGCATAAACTAATATAACTACCGAAGGAAGCATCATGGTGTAACTCGGGGTCACTTAGCATCATGGAACTCACACCCATATTTTCTTACTTAGGATCCTTTGGCGAGACTTGAGCCACAAAGCATCAGTGGTTCCCTATACTTCGAGCTGGGTTTGGGTCTGGGTTACATAGCATTAGAATTCACTCGACTAGCTTACTCCTTTAGAGTACTTGGGATTTGCCTGGGTCACATAGCATCGGTGCAACATCCAACTAGTATTTAAAGTGTGTCAACACTTGATTGTATATAACTAGATATTCCTAGTTGATTCCCGAGCATCAAACAAAGGCATAAGTCTTATGGAATTTTACCTCATTAAGACTTTATGTTATCACACAATTATCAAGGTTTCCACTTGCATTCTTATGGAAGAGTGTCCCCTCTTAATAAAATCCTAACATCTTTTCTCTAACTCAAGCTAGCCTTACTGCCCAACAATCTACGATTGTATTGATACTCTCCCTTAGGTATCGATACTCCCCTTCTAGCGGTATTAGTACCAAATTTGCCTGTGATGTTTGGAAATTAATCTCAATATCGATACTATCCTAGGAGTATCGATACTCACCCTACTTAGTATCGATACTCCCATCACTATCGATATCAAAATTACATTCGATGTTTTAAAAAAATGCCCTAGTATTGATACCCTATAGGGAGTATCGATACTCCACCCTGGGTATCGATACTCTCTTGAGTACCAATACTAAAATTTTCTACTTTAATCCAATTAGGGTCCATGAGTATCTATCTAGCTCTTGAGTATCTATAATACACGAGAAGTATATATACTCCTTGATGATGTATCAATACTCTCCTTACAATCCATTGAATTTTGTCTATCCCCAGTAGGTAGTATCAATACTATTCTTACAATATCGATACCCTCAACTCATAAACTCTATCTTTTCTCGTGGAAATTCTCCCAAATCACTCTTAATGTTATTCCAAGGCCTTCGAGCCAAATGATGTTTAAAGCTTATGTATGGTTGAAGGATCATGAAAGGTCATTACTTTATGCATGAATAACACTAAATCCCCATTTTCATGATTTAAACCCCCAAGTGCACCCAAATAGTTCATACACCCAAAACAAGCAATATACTACACATGATGAACTAAAAGTGGTAGAAAAGGGTTAGAAATGTGTTACCTTCCAACTAGAAGCTAACAAATCCACACAAAGCTCACCCAAGCACCATTATCTTTTTGCCCCTCACCTTTGAGCTTTCACCCACCTCTTGCACTAATCACAAGCAATGGAAACAAGTTATTAACTAGCTTACAGGCTTAGAAACGTTAAGATTATGACTCTTAAGATTTAGGAATGTTTTAAAGCACCCACAAGCTCTAAAACACAAAACCCTCAAACCTAACTATGGCCACCATAGCCAAACTCTATGGTTTTGAGCTCAATTTGAAACCATTGAGAAGGTGATTTAAACCTTACCTTCACTATTTTAGGATGGGGTTATTGAGGAATAAGTTCCCACCTTTGCTTGACCATAAAAGAGAAGGGAAATAATGGGGTTTGAATGAAGAAAAGAAGAAGACAAAGTGAGAAGAAAAAAAAGAATAAGAGCTCATTCACGTTTACATCATAATCTTTTAATAATATTCAACCTTTGAAATATTTTAAGGGTTAATTGCACTCCTAGTCCTCCTCCTATCATGTGCATATCAAAAACACCCTTTTTAAGCCTTAATGGGCTCAAGACCAACCCAAAATAAGCTAATTCCTAGTCCAACACTCTTAATAGGTTTTTTGGCCTAGTTAAAACTCACTCGGGTTTACACGAGACTAACAACCTAGAAATCAGGGCGTTACAATTATCCCCTCCTTAAAAGAAATTTCGTCCTCAAAATTTACCTGAATAGAGATGCTGGAGTTGCATGTCTTATTCGGTCTCCCAAGTCGGTTCCTCCACCCCATGGTTCCTCCACAAGATTTTTACCAACAGAATTTGCTTATTCTTCAATTCTTTGACCTCTCGATCTAAAATCCTTGTTGGTTCCTCTTCCTAATTCATATCTTGATTTAATTCGATCTTCTCCAACAGAATGACATATGACGGGTCTAAACGATACCTTATAAGCATCGACACATGGAAAACATTATGGATGTGTTCCATCTCTAGCGGCAAGGCTAATCAATAGGTCATTGGTCCAACTCACTCTAAAATCTCATAAGATTCGATAAAATGTGGAGTCAACTTCCCTTTACGCCCGAACCTAAGTGAACAAGATAACTAGTTGGAAGTTATTCATACCAAAGAACCAAACTTATATTATTACATGGGAAAGAAGAAACAAAAAAAGTTAACCTTGCATCATATTGGGCCCACGAATCCATATTTCCCCAATTGATTTGGAGGAAGAGGCCTTGGATTCTCTATAATAACTATCTGAGCTTCAATGCATAGAGAAAACTTTTCAGCTGAACCAGTATATAAGCCGTCAAATGTCGTACTCTCCATCGATACAATTCCATAAGTTTCAGTCATTACATAGTCCTAAACCACAAAAACTTATATGATGAGAAGTAGAGTGTATTCCGTTCGTTTTTTTTATTAAAAGGTAAATCAATTTGTACTATATAATTTTCTAAAAATGAAAAACATGCACCTAATTCAAACATATTGTATTGTTCGAATTGATTTTTCGATTTTCTCATGAAGACACATTCTTTCTTTCAAACTATGAATGAACTTACTAAAAAGGTATTAATAAAAAGGCTCCTTTTTATGTATAAAAAGGATAATCTAATCACCATTTTCATCTCAAAAATATTTATTATTATTATATTATTATTATTACCAAAAATCATAAAAAAAGAAAAAAGAGAGGGAAAAGCAATCCCTCAATATGAGGGGCAATCAATGCTCCAATTATTGTTGTTGCACCATCTCCACTCCCCTGCTGCTATCAATGTGCCAATCGATCCCATCTCATCCACAATAGATCACATGCAGACAAAAGAAATGTAAATTTGTAATTTTATTTTTTTTATTTTCTTTTCAATATGTAAAGAAATTAGGGTATTATATAAACCCACAAGAAAATATTGTAAAGGGTGCTCCTCATTAAAAAATGAAAAATAGATTGTAAAAGGGGTTCCCGATCCAAAAAAAATCAGTGTAACATTCCCCATTTTCAGAATTTGAAAAGAAGCATTTTGAAGAGTTTTTATTTTTATTTTTGATCTTTTCATTTTTCCATAAACACAACATATTCGAATCAAAATTAAAATGGAAAAGAAATGCAGCACTTTACTTTTAGGCCAAAACTTCATCGGTGACCGAGATCTCCTTTTGCCAATCTGAACAGTGGGGAGGAGCTTATTGATGAGGGGAACAACATACTAAAAAACCAGCTCTATCTAACGGCTGATTGAGGAGATCGATGAGGCAGAAGTCTGAACGTTCTCGACCATTTTCGCAGAGCCAAACATCGAATCTCGCAAAACCGAGCTCGAATCTTCACTCCCGACGTAAAAAAGAATTGACTAGTATGTTTCAGGCTTCGACGACCACCGAAGACAACAGTTGATGCGACGGTCGCCGGTAGTCAGTACAACAGTGCTCGTCGCCAGCTTCTACAAATCTTAGAGAGAGGGGAGGGAGTTTATGAAGAAGACGGAGAATGAATAAGCACAAAACGAAGAAAAGAAATGAATAAAGGGACTTCATAACCAAAACGACACTGTTTTGGGATCTAGGTCGTGCGTTTCGGGTCGAGGGGTCTAATTTATTCTGCAACCATCCGAAGTTTCTCATTGTCTTTCAGTCCATAATTTTAGTTTAATTCATTTTTATTTTAAAATTGATGTCCTCACATTGCTATTTTCCATCTTTATGTTTAAATTTAACTTTTGGTGTTATTTTCTTTCAGGACCTCGTTTTTCTGATTTCACAAACCACTTTAAATATATGAGCATCGTTTGTGTGATTTTCCCATTTTGTGTTAGCTCTTGTAAAAAGGAAAATTTTCCTTTAAATACTTTGCATTTAAGTGTGTTTTTATATTCAGGTCACTTATTGCTTGCTTTATTTAATTAATTGCATCGTGATGTACTGATTTTGTTATTTTCCAGTTTTGTTTTATTTTTTTTGGTGTTTCCTTTACTTCATGCAATTTGACCGTGTATCTTGAATTTATTTCTTCTTTTCAATTAATTTTTATTTTAAGATATGCTTAATTCATGTTTGTCCTTTCCATGTTTTTTTTGGTTACTTTTAGATTATAATTTTAATTTAGTCAAACTTTATTTCCTTTGATTTTAATTACCTTTTATTATTCATTTACTTTTATATGTATTTGTTTGATGATTATTTAACTTTCTGCATCTTTTCTTTTACGCCCTTTAACTTTCTACAGTTAGTTTATAGTCCTTTAACTATAGCATTTTTATTTCCATGCATTTTTAATTTCTGCAACGTTTAACTTTTAGTGTCTATTTCTTGCTTGCTTATTTAATGTAATATTTATATTATGAGTACTTACTCTCGTTAATTTAGTCAAAGTTTTATTTCTAGCATTTAATTTATTTCCATTCTTGCTTTAATTTCCTTTTATTTGTTTCTGATTGATATTTTAAATTGACTTTCCATTGCTTGCATTTCAAATCAGAATGAACATTTGCATTAATTTACTCTATTATATAGCTATTTATTAAATATAGACTCCTTTTAGTATCTATTTATTTATTAATAAGGATTGTTTTTGTGTTTACGTTTTTTTATTATAATATAATATTAAATGTGTTGACGTACATATTTGTTATGTACGTTATTGCTACGTCTCCATGTTCGCTTTTAAGTCTAAGCTATGATTTTATATATATATATATATATATATATATATATATATATATATATATATATATATAATATATATATATATATATAATATATATATATATATATATATATATATGAATCTATGTGTGTACTGTAGTGTAATTTTTATTATAGCTTTAACTAGTAATAAACATGTATAGTATGTATATTTTACACTTGTTTTAATTTGTCTTAGATTAAAGAAACATGACATAAATTTTAAATACTCTTATCACATTATTTTAAACGGGGAATGTTCTCAAATCAATTGGACATTCTATATCTTTCTAGACGTTGGAGGATTTCAAATTTATTTAACGAGAAAACATATCTTTGATTTTGTTTTTTTCCCTTCATAAAATAATATCATGAGAACTTTAGGACTTTGAGGAGCATTTCTAATTTTCTTAGACGTTAGAAAATTTTTAGGTGTTCTAAATGTTGTGGAATACGGGTATCGGATAGAGCAAAATTGAAACTGATAATTTGAGAAAATAAAAATGAAGATAAAGAAGACACAAAATTTACGTGAAAACCCCCTAAATAATATAGGGTAAAAACCACAGGCAAAGGTAGGATAATTTCACTATGAGAAAATAGGAATTACAACTTCTCTCGATCGAACAAGGAGAAAACAATGGTAATTCTCTCTTGATAAAAAGGAGAAAACAACTCTCAAGAAACTCTCTAAATTCTCTAGTATTAGGAGAAAGCTAGATTGATTTGGGATGGTTTTGAAGTTAAATAGGTTAGGGTATTTATAGTTGAAGCTTAAGGACTAATCTTGTAAATACCCTAAAGTTTAGGGACTCAATTTAGTAATTATACCATTTATTATTTCAACAATTTGGTGCCACTTTTTGACAATCTAGCTGCCCCATTTTCCAAAACCAAAATTGACTTTTTAACAATCTCCCACTTGAAGATTTGATTTTAACAATCATATCTTCACACCATTCTTTCTACCTTGTACCATCATGTTGCTTACGTTTCTGACAGGCCAAAATAGGATCGACACCAAGTAAATTTATCAACATTGACTGGCTTCGTCATGAAATCTATTATGATGTATTTGGTATGGATTTTCTGCATATCTATTGTCCCTTCTTCCACATTTTCACGAATGAAATGGTATTGAACTTGTATGTGTTTTGTCCTTGAATGAAATGTTAGATTCCTTGCTAGATGCAAGGTGCTTTGACTGTCACAAAACAGAGAAACATACTCTTGATTGTGCCCAAGCTCCTCCAATAGCATCTTCAACCAAATTGCTTCTTTACTGGCTTGTGTAGCTGCTACATATTCTGCCTCTGTTGTGGATGTAGCCACAACTGACTGCAATTTTGAAACCCAGCTTACAGCTCTACCAGCAACTTTGAACACATGTCCTGTAGTAGATTTGCTTTTATCCAAATCCCCTGCATAATCAGAATCTACATACCCATTTATTAGTAAGTTTGATCCTCTGTAACATAATGCAACATTTAAGGTCCCTTTGATATATCTCAGGATAGTCTTTATTGTATTCCAATGCTCTTTTCTGGATTCGCCATGTACCGACTAACCACTCCCACTGCTTGTGCAATGTCTGGTCTTCTGCATATCATAACAAACATTAAACTTCCCACTGCTGATGCATACGACACTCGAGACATCTCCATCCTCTCTTCTTCACTGTTAGGACTCATATTGGAGGATAATTTGAAGTTAATAGGAAGAGGGATAGAAATTGGCTTACAATATTGCATGTTGAATCTTGACAAAATCTTCTTCAAGTAATTCTTTTATGAAAGCCAAATCTTCCTATTACTTATGTCTTGGTGAATTTGCATCCCTAGAATCTTGTTTGTTGATCCCAAGTCCTTCATTTCAAATTCCCTAGCCAGTTGTGCCTTCAATTCTTCAATATGATCTTTGTTGGGTCCTGCAACCAACATGTCATCCACATACAATAGCAATATAACAAAATCTTTATCACCAAACCTCTTGAAATAAGCACAATGGTCTGCATTAAGTATGTTGTATCCAAGGCACATAATGAAGGAATAAAATCTCTTATACCAACACCTCGGCGCCTGCTTTAAACCGTTAAGATATTTGTTCAACCTATAAACCAAGTTCTTCTTTTTTTTCTTTTTTCAAAACCTTCAGGCTGGAGCATGTAAATCTCTTCTTCAAGATTTCCATGAAGAAAAGTTGTTTTAACATCTAGCTGCTCTAAATGTAAATTCAATGTAGCACACATTATCAAAACTACACGAACTTTTGTTAGTCGAACCATAGGAGAAAAGATTTCATTGAAATCAATACCTTCTTTTTTAGCATATCCTTTGACTGCCAATCTTGTACGATACCTCTCAACTTGATCGTCACCATTTCGCTTGATTTTGAAGACCCATTTGTTACCAATTGGCTTCCTTCCTTGTGGTAGTGGCATAAGGTCCCATGTATTATTTTTATGAAGGGCTTCAATTTCTTCTTGAATCGCCATCATCCACAGTGAAGCATCTGAGCTTTTTATTGCCTCCTGGTATCTTGTTGGCTCAACGTCCTCTGTTAAAAGGCAGTATGTAATATTTCTTTCTATAACATAATCTAAGTGCCAATTGGGATGTCTTCTTATATGATTTGATTGACGAGTTGTTAGAGCTTCAAAACTCTCTGATTTTTGTTCATCATGTGTTGGTTCTGCTTCAGAAGAATCTTCTTGTTCAAC